ATTTTCATTTTTATGTTTAAGATCATCCTGAAGTTTTAGAACATATTTAATAAATTAATGAATGTTTGGATTTTGTTTCTTTTTTATTAAAACCTCTGGGATTTTGCTGGTATAAAATTATTTATAGTTTGAGAAATGTAGTCTGAATTATTTTTTATGAGAGGTTATGCATTATTTTTTTCTCTGCTTGTTCTTAATGGATATTGCCATAGGTTTAAAATAATGTTAGCCTAAATATTGTGCTTTTCAATTCAACTGGCTGGAGCAAAAGCACCATGCAAATACTACTTGACTGGGGACGGGTAACAAAGCTGGTGATCTCTGTGTTGTGCTGCATTGTTTTTTGAATAAAGCTTAAAATGTGTTCCCAGTTTTCTCCATTTCAGGTAGTCTTTTCCATACTACAGTATCCTAGTCTCTAATAAATTATGAAGGATTTTTTGCACATCAAATGATTACTGTCACTGTTGTCATGAGTACTGTGATAGAATAAAAATGTTGTATTTAAAGAAAACAGCCAGAAAAAAATCTAAATCCACATGTTTTCCACAATAGTGTAGGGTAGGTGATTATTTAATCCTTTCTAGATTTAAGATAATGTGAATAAATACTTCTGAGGAATATGTGATATACAAGCTTCTATGGCAAGGCCCACTTGAGTACTGTATCTTTGGAGCTGTCTGGAATCCACCTGAAGCACAGACCAGTCAGCAGCACTTACACATAAGTCATTTTATAGTTTAGTGAAACCTGTAGTTGGATTTACTCGTAACCTGAGATAAAAGCCTGTTAAATCTGAGCTCAGAGCAGTTGGATTGCAGTTAAGTTGCTGGATGATATAAAATGCAGGTGGAGGTAATACAAGTTGGAGTGAAAGACCACACAGGCTTTTGGTGTCTGACTAAGATTCCATCTCCATATGTAGTTGAACCAATCAAACAGGCCTTCTCCTGCCAAAACAGAACTCTTGCTTCACTTTCCCCTCAATGTTCCTAACTACACATTTCATCCCACCTCTAACTCAAGCTCTGCTGCTCAGTGCCTAGAGGTCTCTCTTTACTCTGCCATGTCTCTTAAGAAGATTCCCCTAAAACCTTAGTATTATAAGATGAGTAGTGTTAGCATCTTTTCATAGTATGATCATATCACATGGCTAATGGCTGAAAGACAGTCATGTTGTTTGAAGTTGATTTTATAATAAAAAAGTATAAAGCATACAAACTGCAGGGACCTGTACTTCCTACAGCAGTGGCAATTCAATAAGTTAAATAACTAAAGCACTATGTTTAGACAATACTGTGTACACACTGAATTCTGCTCATCCATAAGTGTGCTTTATGCATTTTTAATAAGCTTTCATATGGAAAATAATTTGTTGGCTTCTCTCCTTAGATTGGGTTTTATTTTGTTGTTCCACTAAGATAAATTATAGCACATTCCCACACACTTCTAAATTAATTTTGAATGTATGTTTTGAATATTCAAGCAAAAGTTTGATATAATAAACAATCTTTCAGGCATCAGAAAAATAAAAAACAGACGTGCAGAATATTAAGTTACACTGGAGGCTGAACTTTGCCTGTCATCAGCAAGCTGAATTGCAGAAAGTGCAAAACAGTACAAGAACAGACATTGAAAAGAATTTTAAATCTTCTAGAGATGTTCACAGTTGCTGTGAAGTCTGTTAGAGACTTTACAATACCTTTGGATTTCATGTGAAAGATGCTTAGCCATTAATAATCAGCATTCATACAGATACTAAGGAAGGCATCCTCTGCTTCTTTGAAAGTCCCTTTCCATCAAGCTAAATGACTCTTACTTAAGTTTGCATTCCAGAAAAACAAGTGAGAACTAATACCTTTTTACATAGAAAGGTGGATACAGAATAGCTGTAAAATTTTAAAGGTCTGTAGTCACAGTTCTGATAGAGTCATGTTCCAAAACTTGAGTGCATATTTTCAGTGTAAATTTAGTTTCCCTCAGTGAATTAGTAAGTAGTATTATATTCATTTATTTGCTGAATTTGCATTGACATCAACTGGCTGTCTTTAACGAATAGCTGGTTTAAACAGTGTTTTAAATAAGGGTTTAAAGGCATGAAACCAGGCATAAAATCTGTTGATTCTAAACCAGATGGCAGAAATTGGAAAATAAATATTAATTTCGTTCTGAAGGGTATACTCTGCCTAAGCTTACTTAAACTGTAATAGTAATGAAAGTGCTACCAATAAAGCAGAAACCGGTCATGGCATATGACATTTGTATTTTCTGAGTTTAAACTTTTTACTCCACAACTTGTGTCATCTTGATTTGATCCTCTAAAACCTGTTCAGCTGAGTTCAGTGACCTTTTGAGGTTACTTTTGTGGTGTATAAAACATGTTTTCAGCTTAAGGTGAAAGACAGGTTTCCATTATGAGTCATGCTATCACTGTGTAGTGTTAATGTCTAAAAAAGTTCTCTAAATGTTGTACACAAGAGTACTTAGAAGTCAGCTTTACTGGAAGTCTGCTTTTTATTACAGAACTGTCATCAGCACCTCTTTTTAGAAGTCATCCAGTCAAAGAAGCTTATGCGAGTCTCTCATTCCTAACAGCCTCCTGTAGGCACTGGTAATAATCCCATTTCTCTTAGTTGTGTTTGGGTAAAGGCCAAAATAACAAAACCATGTCAGAACCCTAAGGCCTTTAAAAAGGGTTGTATTTTCCTAAAAGCTTTACATTTCTTTTAGAAAAGATTTACATTTGCTTTCATTAGGAATATAAATTACAGAAAATCTTTGTGAAAAACAGTTCCCTCTTTTAACTTAGGTCTTGTTATTCTTTTCAGCATTCACAGTTGATTGTGTGCTACACAAGCCATTAAAATGTGTAAGCCAGATACAAATCTGAAAGAAGTGTGTTCCATCACTTGCACTGTGACAGATGAATCAATGTGAAAAAATAAAAACACATTTGTAAACTATTAGACTAAAACTGAAAATCAGGACTTTCATCTGGTTTTGCACCCTTGGATGCAGTTTCTTTTTGAAAGGCTGAGTGGGGATCTGTTCCAAGATAAGTTTTGTTCTTTTTTTGGTCAAAACTTGTTATAACCAGCTATCAGCCAGACCTTGTTAAACAAACTAGAAAGTGCCATCTTCCAAGGGGGAGAAAAAAATGTTGGCAAAAGCAGTAAGGTTTGCAGAGACATCTAGTGAATTAGAATTCACTGTCTCTTGTTTAGTTTCCTACTGTCTTTAACTGTAAACATGTGAGATTCCTTCACATCCTAGCTCACTGTGATAAGCCCAGGGTGTCCTTGCCTTTTGATTTCCCTGTCTGCCATTATTTCTCACCTTGTGACATTACACAACTAGTGTATATAGCAAAATTAGGCTGATACAAATATTCAAAACAGATTTTTTTTTAAGACATACAACATATTCAAGAAATTCAAGAACAGAAAAAGTAAAATGATTGCAGTAGCTAATAAGAGCACTTAATTTAAAACTTGTATACATTTTATTTAAACATATACTCACTTCTTGTCTGGCTATTAAGCTAAAAAAAAAAGAAAAATATGTAAGAGCCCAACTGTTGGAAGTATGGAAGTAGTAAAGTATGGAAAAGTCATTCAGCTTCCAGCTTCAGAGAATCTTAACATTCATAGAAGGCAAGTAATCAAAAATGGCTGTATTTCTTCTTTATTTTTCAACTTTAACTGAAATACTGAAGATTTATCCCTGTGCCAGACATCCAAAAGTATGTACAATTGAAAAATAATCAAGCATTTTATCACCATAATGAATTGTACAAATAAAAATGAGGAACCAGTTAGATAGCAGTTTTAAAGATTTAGATGTATAAGCACAAGCTAGCAGCAACATATCATTGTAACAAGAAGCATCATAGAAAGAGATGGCACTGGAAAAATCAGTCTTCACCATGTGAAGCAGCTTGTTTTCTTCTCAGGTGGAGTTCTGTACCTCAGGAAAGAGATATATTATTTGGAAAGAGGCCATTGAGCAACATAAAGGTTATAGTTTCTACAGTCTGATTAAAAAAATTTCTTCATGTAAGGAAAGTTTTGAAAGATTTCAAAGGTATCAAAAGCTACTAAAAAGAGGAAGAAAAAAAGCCTCTGAATTTGTGCTGCTTAGGAAAAGAATGAAAGAGTATTTCATTCATTGCATCACGGAATAGATCTAAATTGGTCTGAAGTTATACAATGTTCTCAAGAAAATCAAACAGTCCTTCCCCATAAAACACCCTGAGGTTTTGCACAGACAAAAGAACAATTTGCCATGTGCTTTTAAACGTGCTTCATCCCACACATGCAACACTATTTCCCATTATTTTCAGTTAAAAAACGATTGCAATTGAATGATGTATGAACCATTTCTTCATTATTCTCATTTTCTTTGGTATCTAATAGTACACTTTCTAAAGATTTGAAGAATTCTGATTTGATAGCTTAGTGTATTCTATTTACTCTACCCCTTGCTTCAGCAAACAGTGGTAAAACCAACGACCATAAATTGAGTTTTAACCACCTCTGAGGTATGATTTTATTATCCATTACATATGGATTGGGGAGAAAAATGTTCAGTAGCAACTAGAAGATTAGGATGTGGATTTAGAATATATAATTTAGAAAACCAAAGAGTCATGTTATTTGTTTTAGGGAAGTTGTCTTCATTTTCCAAATCTAAGCAAGGTCAATCAACTGTTCTAACATTTGAATTGTATGGTATGTTGCTGTTTCATCTTAAGCTCTGAGAAAGCACAAAACAATATTTAGTAAAGTATGTTCTTTTTATTCACTTTTGTTAAATACATGTTTACACTTAAGAAAATTTAAAACAATGCATAGAAAAGGAAACTGCAATTTTTTATTAGAAATACAATAGCATGTCACAATATGTTACAAGCTAAATGTTTATTTCAAAATTGTAGGCAGCATACAAGCAGTGTTTAATTTTTATAGGACTATGTAAAATTACTATTTCTAGATCTGTTCTTTAGATTGGAGGTCTTTTACTAGTTAACAGATGAACAGGGAAAAAGAACAAAACGGAAATTACTACAAATGTTGTGTGCACTTAAGACATCCTGAAGAACAGGTAACTGTAACAGGGGCATCATGGAAGAATCCGCATACCTGGCCCATTATCTGCCCATTGGAAGAAGCCGCACTGTTTTCCCTTCCCAAGACGGCACACAAAGAAGTTCCTTCCATTATTTGGACCAATCTTCAACACAGTCTTCATAACACATCGCTTGCCATGGTTACAAAATGGAAAATTCAAGTCGGCCCACTGCCAAAGAAACAGGTTTCAGGCACATGTGATGGCTATGAATTTCTTATTTTAAAATTGACAGTGGAAAAATATCTACAGGTGATGCCATGGAAGAAATTCTTCCTAGTACTTAGGATAGTTTTATCTCTTTTGTGAATACTTTTTAGATTTTATCTTTAACATCAACAGCAACTGCATACACTTCGACTGGTGTAACTTGAAATTATGTTAAGAAAAAGGTTTTTTTCAAATTTAGGCATTATGGTCATTACTGTCTTGAGTTCATCTATTAACTACCTGATAGTCATTGACTTTTCAGGGGAAACTCTTTTCAGACACGTACATTCGTAGCAAGGAGCAGAGGCTGCCAATTGCATCTAGTAAGGTTATGTTAGATATTAGTGCAGCAGGGGGAGCGTTTGCCCAGGCAGATTACAGAATCATCATCCTTAGAGGCTATCAGGATTTTGGCTAGCCAGAACATGGATGACAATTAGATCTAGTTTGCTGTAGTCCTTCTTTCAGGAAGAAGGTGATCCAAACAACTTGTACAAAGTTGGATATTCATACATCACCTCAAACCAGTATTTCTCTTACGCATCTGTTTTACATCACTCAGATTAAGAGCATTTGCACAAAGCAGGTGCCTTTTCAACAGTAAGAGAAGTAACTAAAACTGTTAAGATCATAGCTATTATTATGGTCTTAGTTTCAATTCAGTGTACAAGAGTACTTATGTCAAACTTGAAATGGACTGTATCTGTCCATGACTGACAGGTCACTGGGCCAAGGAGGCTGCAGGAATAAGCACTGATTATAAAAACAGGTCCTGCAGTCTTATACATACTTGAAAGTAGTCACACCGAGTTTCCCTGGGGAGAGGACAACAATAAAACTGCCTTCCCTCGTTTTCTCCATCCTTTCTCACAAGTCTGAGGCTGCAGAGACGGCTGTGTTTACTGCAGCGAGGATGCCCAATGCTCAACACAGGAGTATCGTCTGTCAGATTTGTTCGAGGTGTGCTGTAATGACAGGTTAAAAACGACTTCTGCATAAAAGGGATTACCAGCCCAAGAACTCTTTTCTACCATTGCAATAGCTCACCCAGTGTACGTTTGCACACAGTGACAAAGGACTTGCTTCTCTAATGCACCCTGTTGCGCCTTTAAAGCTGAATGATTTCAAGTAGCGAATAGACATGACTGTGAGCTTTTCTTGAGGTATTACACCAGTTTTCCCCACCATGTCTTAAATTCTTTTGAAGTACTCAAATTCATGTATGAAACAAAATAAATATTACCACTTATGTTATACTGCCCACCTCAAATTCTGACATGTTCTAAAAGAGTATTCTGCTCTCGGTGTGAAAAAGACCAATACCACTAATTACTTCAGTCTGAAGGCATTTGTATGCTTCACAGAAAAGACTCCCACCCTCTTTAGTAAAAAGTTACAGTAATGCTCCAAATCATATTTGGACAAGAAGTAATCCAGATGATGGGATAGAACAGAATTCTCTGAATGGGATAAAGTTTTTTTCTTCCTTATATATATATTGAATGATTGAGATAATTTCTGACTAACTGCAATACACAAAGTTTCATTTAAAAGTAGTGACATGAGAAAGATTAATGCTCTGAAATGTATCTTACCAATATATTTATACAGCAGAAAAGCAATAATGGAATCTTAGTGAAAAAAGAAAATATTAATTCATTCTGGTCAAGTTATCATCTTAAGAATTTTATGTTGTCTTCTCTGTCTGGAAGATTGCTGTCCTGCAGACACCAGCAGTTTTATTCCAACACCTCATTAAAACACAGTAAGATAAAAATAAACAACAGATTTTTGTTGGTTTTGGTTGTTTAAAAAAATACAATAAAAAAGCATTTCAGTTGATGATTTGCTACAACCTGTTGTCATGATTGATACTATCTCATTTCTTGTTTGCAATCTTCTGTATTCTCAATTATCCTGCCTACAGCCTCAGTTCCTCAGTACTGAGAGAATGAGGAGAAATTGTATTCATTCAGTCTAGCTTAGCTAGTCAGCAAGATCATTTCAAAACTGGTGCTTCAGCAATGCAAGAAGTAATTTCCGTATTTCAGAACGGACACATGACCAAGAACTTTGTAGCAAATCATCAATATTTCACATTCAGCCTGCATAATTTACCAATGTGACATCTACCTTGCACTCCCATTACTGTTGTGACTATCTACCCAACTCTGCAGTGGCAACCCTTATATATTCTCACATTCCTCTTAACTAGGCAATGGATGTGTCTGAACAGGGCCCTGTAAATAAGAGTATGGGTAGGGCACTGAAGTGATTGTATACAGAATGGGGAGGGAAGTTAAGAGTGAAAGCAGTGATGGGAAGGTCATCAAGGCAACTGTACGGAGCTTCCTTTCAAGGAAGAATGCTGAAACCTGGTAGTTGACAAATAACTTTAATTAGAATATATTTATCCAGATACCTTCCTTTTGTAATCTTTCACACTGATTTCAAGATCTCCCTAAGCAGATAGCAACTACAGTGCTAAGATTAGACAACTCCCTAGGAAGAAATGTGCTTGATCTGTTAAAACTAGACTGGCCTATTCAGTGGGAATAGCTGAACTATGAACAACTGTTTAGCTGACAGCAGTACTGGTTAGATGCCAAAATCAGGACTTTTCTAGTGGCAGCCTAGGTAATTCAGTGCTTTTGAAATCTGAATTAAATTATAGTTAGCCTAGAACAAGTTACCTCTGGCAGAACTCCAAAGACAACACTGTCTCAGCCCAACAGCATGGTATTCAATTAATCTTTAAGGATAAAGTTGGTTTATGGGATTATAAAGACTTGCTTTCATTTTAGCATACATACCTGATTGCTACATTAAATGGGTGAACCAAAGGTACATGATCAACTTTCTGTTTCTTCTGTACGTGTTTGAATGAGTCAGGCTGCTGACAGGAGGACAAAGCCAGAGCAGTTACATGTGTTGAGCAGTCCTTGTCTGTGCTTCCCCCTGACTGGCAGGCATTGCTTTGGGTCAGTTTACAATTCCTTTTTGGAACAACACACTGAGAGTGTCCATCAGATACCTGGGTATCATTTCCCAAAGCAGGGTTGTTACCAAGATCTGTTAAGACAAGAGTTGTAGTTCCAAATGCAGTTTTCCTATTGATCTTTATTTCTGTGCTTGGTTTTCTGAAATCATTACAAGGGTACTTCATTAAGCTTGTGTTAACGGCTGCAGAATCTTCAAAACTCTCCATCTTTGGAACTAAGGAAAAAAGTTATTAGTTATAATCCATCTGCATAGAATGGTATATTATATTTCTGATCTGTATTCCTAAGTTGTCATGCAGAGAAAGAAAGACTAAATTTACAGTACCATCTCAAAACCTGTCAAAATTAGATAGAGTACAAAATTTCTTACAATAAAAAAAAAACTCATGCACTCTTGGAATCATGTAAAACATGTGTTTCAAGATAACATTACCATTGCTTGAATAGGATCATTTAATAGTACTATGTAATGAAAGCTATTGGACAGTTAACCATAGAAAAATTAATTTGGCCCAAACATAAGGATTAAAGTATTTAAATTTTTCAAAATAAAAAATCTAATCCCAGCAATGGGAGATCACACAGTATAGTACCTCCAAACAGCGATGCATTATCCATTTTTAAATTACTACTTTACTATTGACACAAAAAGGATTTTGGGGTTTCTAGTGTTTTCAGAGTTCCCATCCTTTCCAAACTTCATGTTCATCCAAACTTACTGTAAGAGGATTTTCAGAAGAAAGCAGTTCAGACTTTGCTTTGTGGTATAAACAGCAAGTTTTTTCACAGAATTACAGGCCCTCCTAGTGGGCAATAATAATTTCAAAAGAATGGGAATAATTTATTAATGCAAATTTAATACATAAGGAGTCCACAGGTAATTCCTTTCCCGAGAAACAGGTGATGGCATCCTATGTGCAATCTTTTTAGGTAGCTGTGAAACCACAGTGTTCAAGGACAGAGTCCTGCCTTTTCTACTATATCCAGTGTGTTCCATACAAAGAACAGGGAGTTAAGCAGAGCATGGGTAGATGAGACATACACAAGGGCACACTCTCTCCAAAGGCATTCTCACTCAGAAACAAAATAAGAATCTCTGCATTTGACTTGGAACATTTCGTTTCTAGGCTACTTCCATTTTGCTACTGGTGCACAGTGAAACATACTGGTTTTATTCAGACTTTTAAAGAAAGATTAGTAGTAGCTCAGCCTTGTACTTAGCAAAGGAGCACGGAAATTGCAATGTAATGGTGAATAATTATCTGTCTACAGACTGAATTATTTCAACTGCAAGGCCAGCAGCAAATTTTACAGGCCAAGTATTCTGTCCTCAAAAATTCAAACATTTCTGCTGAGAGTAGTTAATTTTAGAAACAACATAAAAAACAAACACTGAACCAAATGAGAAGGGAAAGATTCTTAAGGATTAAAAAAATAAGAGAGGTAAGCAAATCCATATTTGAAAAAAAAAATCTCAAATACAACTCCTATAGAAAAACAAAGCCATATTTTTTTTTAAAAAAAGATTTCCTAACAGTATTCCATCAAGTTGAAGACATCTTCAAATTCCAGACCTGATTTCAGTAATTGCATATAACTGAACAAGTAAAACTCAGAAGTACAAGAGAAGGAACAAGATTTTGTTTCAAGCTTAAGATAAAGCATTTGTGCACATGGCATAATATATTATAAAGGCCAGCTGACATCATTAATTCCAGGATAAATGTTAGTTGGTAAATCTTATTCTGTGAACAGATTAAAATTCTCAGGTTTCTGGTGCTGATTTGGCAGAAGAATTATGCAAGATTAACCTGTGTTGGCTACAACTGTCATGTAAGGCACGAAGACATAATTTTATTGATTCCTGGCCTGAGAAAATGAGCTATAGCTAGTGCAAGATAAGGGTTTTCCACCTATCACTCCAGTCATAAAATGATTAAGCAATGAAGCAATATTTAATGTAGATAGCAGCATTAAAAGCTTCAGCAAGAGACAAACAAGAAATTGAGGTAAGAAGTTCAGGATCATTTTTACTCTGAACTCGGAGGGAAAAAAAGTAGCCCCAGAGAAATCTGGTATCCTTTTAGAAAAGGGTACTAAAATACACTGCTTTTGTTCACATGAAAGAACAACAGTTAATTTTCTGACCCTTGATGATTTCTAATTCAGACTTACACTGCAAACTTTGAATGACTTAAAGGAGAGTTGAAAGAATGGACATTTTTCTTACTCCTTGCCCCAGTAAAAACAAAGGGTCACTGAAGACACCTATAGAATCCCACCTGCACACCAGGTTGGAAGACAACACTTTCAGGGTTTAAGACAATACAGTTTCCATATTGTCTGTGTAAGGTTTCCTCAAAATCTGACTTCAAGTTAGCTAGTTTTACATATATATATATATATATGATTCACAATGAGACACTTCTACGTAAAAACTACATCAAAATCACAGACAAAATCACCCCCCTATGCTCTTTCCCAATACAGATGCCAGACAACCCTTCATTACCTTCAGGTCTTGAAGTCAAACAGGCATCACAAATTTCAGCAGAAGGCTTGTTTATTAGGGTGCAGCGCATACACGTCCACTCCTCTTCAGATTTCCGAGCTACATGTTCATTAGAACATGACCCCCTGCCACATGCCCAGCCAATTAGGCTAGTTCTTGCTGGCAGTTTGCTGTGAAACAAAGAATGATGTTAGTGTTTTGTGACATTCCCTCTACAAATTGCCTTACACCACTCTGTGCAGGGAGGCATGGGCTACACAACAAGCAGTACACAGTGTTAAGCCTCCTATCAGAGCTTGGACAGCATGTCACTGTTCAAGTTTGACTTTTCTTTACCTCAAGAGCAAATCTTTCCAGATGCTGCAGAAGTAATACAAATAAAAATATTTAAACAAAAAATTGACAGAAAGTTAATTATTATCTGATGTACTCTCTAGGACAAAGCCCCAGTCTCTCAGACTCCCCACCATTTCCAAGTACTGCAGCTTAGTGAGAAAGTTTCAGGGCTTTCCCTCCCATCCCTTGTACACAATGCTTGCTAACAAATGCATTACTGGATGAGGAAATGTTTAGAAGGTGTACTGCATAAAATCACACAGTCTAGCAAATAATTTTTTTTTTCTCATTTAAATGCTACACATAAGTCCACTTTGTTATCTTAACAGCCAAAAGCACTGACAGCCTTAAAAGTTAGAAAGCCTCTTGTGTGTCACCATTTGCTGGAAAGCCTTTTAAAATGTAGGAACCTGTTCAGAATTAAGGAACCTAGCTGTGACTTGTGAGGCAAAGCTACTCCAAACACCACTAAAGATTTAGTTTTATATATTTTCCTGTAAATTATCATACCTTCTGTGTTGATAGACTGATTTAGAATTATAGTTACTCCTTTACAGCTTCCTGTTACCAGGGACTACTCTTGTTACAGTATCCAAACATTGACAGCATGCTATATGTAACTTGAACTTACCTGTTCAATAACTTATGTATGTTTATTTTTAAGTACTATATCATCCAATTTATGGTTGATAAGCTGTCATGTGGATTTTTTCAGTTTTAGTGGAATTGTGCACTTTTTGGAGACTTTTATTAATACTAAGAATTTAAGCACTTCAATCAATAATGCAAATGCTGTAGTTGGGCACTGTTGTGACACTGCTTTGACCTATCACTTTTTCCATAATGATCGCTTTCTGTAACAGGCTAGAGTTCTAAGATAATGGTAGAGATATCCACTACCTACCACATCTTCCACAACAGGAAAACTAAGGAGGATAATGAGAACTGCTGACATACCAAAGAGTCTGCTGTTAAGAGGTAGAACAGACATTACGGTAGCATTCACCAAATACTGTGGCTAGCAAACAACACAGCTGAACTGTAAGTGTTAAAGTGGGTATTTTCACATTATTAGATCACTTGTTCTTCTACTCAGTTATCAAAAATGCATTACTAGACTGAATATATTCAGCATGTCATATTTGAAAGTTTAATGCCATGTTATTCCCCTGGTTCATCTATCCTGTCATTACCCCCCCGCACCCTATCCCAATTTATTAAATAAGTGGAAAAGGTCTATTTTTAAAATTCAAGGTACATTTGAATTTGATGGGCTAAGTTTGTAATGGGTATTTTCTTACTGTTTTTCAATTGAGCAAAATAATAAGTTACTTGACCCAAGAACCACTGGGTTGAATTCTACAGTTTATGATCTGTAGCAAGTCAGTATAATCACATGGGCCCCTTCCAGTCATCAAATGTGAGAAGCCTGGAATGGCAAATAAATTACTTGAGGTATTCATAATTTTACATGGTAACAGTTACTGTATAGTTGAAAAGAGAGCAGTAAAACACAAAGAACTGACCATTAGGATAAGGACAAGACAAGAAACCACCTTTTTGTTTTATAACTACCACTACCATGTTTTTTACTTTAATACAGCACTCTTCAGTTGTTTATTTAAAAGTACAGCAACAAAACGCTGTATCACTTGTTCTAGAAAACAGAAAGATTTTTTTCCTTACATTGTATTCTAGTTATCTGACTCATTGTTGTCTTCCTACATCTCGGCAAAATATTTCTCATTATTACTTTCTGAAAATACAGCAGATCTAGGTTATCAGCTTGTGAAATATTTATCTCTTCCATGCTTGAATTTTCGATATTTGATATGTACTCAAAGGCAATTTTTTAAGCTTTAAGCAAAATCCCTTCAGCCATCTGAGTCTTGAAAGAAGCTTGGAGGTAGGAGAGGGATTTGTGCATTCTGTAAATGTTATCTAATATATACATATATATATATATATACACACATATACACACTCACATATACTAACAAAGCAAAGTTGCAAAGTGAAGCAGCATCTTATATTCGATTGACAGAGAGTATAAAGGCAAAATTCTGAAGCCTCAGATGAAAATTTTCAAGAATAACAGATGCCTAAGTTTGAATAAGGTGCTTTTGGAACTTTTACCTTTTGACCCTTTGTGATACCAAATGCATTTTCTGCTTTCCTGAAATAAAAGGAGGAAAGCTGCTGCTAACACAATTTATGCGGAAGTGAAAGTGTCTCTGTAGCACTCTTATAGTGAAAGTTTTTAAAATCCAATAAGGAGGAAGAAAAAGTACCTAGCCACTAAAATGTTTGCTGCACTCTGAATTTACTGATGTTTTGGTTATCCTCAGTATAACTCTATATCCAGAAGAAAACTGCATGGATGCACAGCTATCTAGATATGCCAGGACTGATGGGACTATCCTGTTAAAAAAAGACAAATTCCTACTTAATGATATTCAACTCAGTTATGTGGAAACATCCGAGCCCTTTATATTGGTAACACCAAGAAAAAAGGGCAACTTTTCCAGTGACTTAGTTTCAGTGAATAAATCTGAGCACTCTGAATCGTTTTGTAATTCCCACATTTGATTAGAAAAATAGCTACTTCATAATAGTTTATACCTTTGAAAAGCACAGTAGAAAAGAATCAAAGCTTCTAACCATTTTAAAATACCAATAGCCAAAACTATTTTTTTTCAAGATGTTCTGTTTTTGTCTGGCATAGTTAAATTTAGTTGTAAAATGCACACAGATCCATTTATTTCAAAGGAGGTGTCCACTTACTGTAACAGCACTTTGAGGTGATTAAAAATGCCACCATGTTATCATCATACCTAAGATTGACAAGCTGGGGATCCGCCTTTTGACAGTGAGAGCAGAAGTAAGTCATCCTGTTATGGTCTCCCAAACGACACACGGTGATGCTGCCACTGCACTCCCTGCAGACTGGGCGCTTGTACACTTTGTAGTGTTTGTAGAGTGGAGACCCAGTTTTGCGGCACTAAAACAGAACGTGTTTAAAATCCAAGTTAGAGACTCAAGATAAATTTTACGTGAGTCTGAAAATAAAAAGCCCTACATAGACTGTCAACTCATTGACTAGATGAAGATATTTTAGACAGACACTATTAAAGGCTATTTCACATTATTTTATGTAAAGAATTAACAAATCGAGTGTAACAATGTCTTTAATTCTCCACATAGTGAAATAAAAGACAGAAGGAAAAAAAAAACATACTAGTAAGGTGCAAGCAAATACATGCTAGGATCTCTCTGAGTTTAGCTTGACCAAGCTAGCTCTGATTCAGCACCAGCTGTCTTTGACCAGGCACCTGCAATCAAACAGCTCCAATCAATGCAGCAAGGAAAACAAAACAAACATAAAGCACAAAACAAAAACAGCCTTCTCTCACCCCAAAAGAGCCAAAAACAGCACAGCTCAGACGTGATGCTACAATCTGGGTTAATAAGCCTTCCCAAAACCTAAAAAACTGTGCAATGCAGAAACATTCCCAAGATTCTGTAAATCTTGGATAGTGCCCAGTTGCCAAGCTGCTCAGATTCATCTTGGCCCTGGCCATGCCAGACAACCTGGCTCATGAAAAGCCAGTTGGCACTATGGTAATCTCCCTAGATTCTGGCAGAAAGCCATATTAAATTAAGTATAGTACAAGCCCAAGGGCAGTGACCTGAAGAGCCTCCAGACAGCTGGTAGGCACATTTCACGAGACAATTCACAAACAATCCATGAAGTCAGCATAGAAACACTACAGCTAAAAGTGGGGAAAAAAAAATCCGAACTAGAAGAGCCCAGTAGAGATGCAGCCAACTCTGCAGAGTCGCACAAGTTTCTGCACTACAATTGCAAACCCTTGAGCACAGTTCAAATGACACCACAGCTGGCCCAGCAATACCAGCACAGCTCTGGCAGAGTTCAGTGGCTCTAGTGCCATAATGTATGAAAACCCTTGGAGTTTTCCCAAAACACAGGTGTCTTTGAGCACAGTACATTTGCTTCTGCTGTGCTCTTATTCATCAGTCTTGCTGATAGAGAATTCTTGTGCCAGTGCAAACTAGTAATTCAATGAGAAGGAATTACTAATATATATTTGCATGAATATACACAGCTGCCTCCTCAAGGTTTTCAGTCATTTTCTTATGAGCAGTTTTTTTCCCATTCAGTTATGCAAAAACCAAACAAAAGCAACATCTTTTTACACAAACAAGATTCTTCATCTTTGCATCTGTAATGATTACAGTATGATGACTGCAAACAATCTTTAACAGTCTATAAAAATTTTCAAACACTATCCCTCATTAACATATTTTCATTATGTCTCTTTAAGATGAAGGAGAGGCTAGCCCTCTTCAAAGTACTTGACTGGTGAATGCTTGCTAAGTGTGGACTGCAAAAGTTTTCAAATTAGCTAAACAGAAAGTTTAACTTGCTTATTTATTATCAGTCTAAAAGCCTTTAAATTCCTGAGTATTATAGTTGTTGCAGAACTAGACAATATCTCTTTAGTGGCAGGCTTTGCTATGAAGTTTGAAGAAATGCAAACATTTCCCCACCAACAAACTAAAGTACTCTTTAAAATGGGTTGAAAGAAAGCAGACATTTAAGCAGACTATTAAACAAATTACAGTTTTAGCCTTTATGATTTTAGGACTGTTAGGTGTCCTCATCCTCACCAACCAAAAAATTTCTTTTCAGCAATGCTAGCTCCTTGCCTTTCATGAACATCAAGAGAAACAGACAAAAATATCACTACTGCTGTTCATTTCTTTGTATGCAGCTTAAAGAAACAAAACATAGAAGAATTAGGTCAAATTCTCTCTTTATCTATTGTGGAAAGTTAAGAAGCAGCAGGAATTATAGAGTTTATATGGGAAGAAATTAAGTCCTACTGAAGTTATACCAGTAGGGAGAAATCATAATTTATTTCACTTTATCAACCAAAACCATTATTTCAGTTAGGAAAAAAAGGGTATTAGAAATTACCAACTATCTAGTCAAATAAATTTAATTGCTATTCCAAGCTTTATAAAGGAAGCCATATCAACTAGCTACATACTTCTCTGGGACAATCTCTACTTCCCAGTTTGAAGAATAATCTCTGTGTTATCTTACATGTAACTTTGTGGTTAGCCTACATCAATTCTGACATGTTCAGAGTGGCGTAATTGCACATGCACAGAAAAACTGAACTAGCCCTCAGGCAGTTTTTTGAACTGGCCTCTGAAGGTTTTTTGGGCCGAGCTGTGCATATCTTGACAATCTTGACTCCACTTACCTTCCCATCATCTGACAAGTCACAATTAATAAAGAGCACACAAACCAACATTCCTATTCAAGGAAACTTGCTTTGTTGAATCTTTATATTGTTATACTTTATCTGTTTTCACCAGATGATCACATACAGCTAACATGACAGAGTAACATTTTGGAAGTTTTCCAGAAATATGTGCCAATACCTTATAAAAAAGCAGCGTAAAATCACGTGTCATTTTCACCAAGTGGCGTATATGCTCATCTGTCAGTTGGCAAACCTGTAAGAAAGACAAGAATGATTTTTAGAATATTACGACACTAAGGAACAATGGCAAAAATAACCTATGAGGTAGGTACACTTTGAACACCGATGTGGAGTTGCTTTACTCCATGTTGTGATAATTCCCAGACAATATGTATCATCTCAGTAAAACAGTACATGCTCATATTCTGTACCACAAAAACTCACTGCTTGCATATCAAACAGTGTGCTTTGCCTCAACCACACAAAACATGTGGTAGAAAATTCAGTTGTCTTTCCCTATATATTGACCACATATATAGAGTTCACGATCACATGAATGATGTAAGAGTTAGCAAGTCTCTCCCAATTTCCTCATGGATCATAATATGACATCATCTGAGGCTCTTTCCTCTGAGAGATATTCAGGAAGAATATGCGAGTCAAAGGCAGCACAATTAGAGAGATGTATCAACCAAATATATTTTTCTTAGGAACCCAAAATTTTAAATCACATTATTCTTTTTTTCTGCCGTATCGCAGATAAAATCAAAATCCGGATTGATCCTATGAACAATTTTCAAAATACTATGTTTAAAAAACTTTTCAGTTACTAATCTTCACCAAGCTTCCATTTACATTTGATGTAATGTCTGTTTTGCAAATATCATAGTCTCAACCAAAGTTTGGAGACACATGCTTGAGGATCTTAAAACAGAAAAAGTATGATAAAAAATGGTAGAAAAAACAATTGGTGCCAGCTAGCAGGATAAGAAGTGGAAGAAGCATCTGCAAAAATTATCAACTCTACCACATAAACTATTTTGGATAGTCAATGAACAGAAAAAAAACCAAACCTGAGCACTTTTCATTTTCCCTTATTTATGGACTGTCAGCTTAATGGTACCATAACAGGATGCCACACTTAGAATATGAAAGTTAATCAGCTCCAAGGAGTACCATGACAAAAACCTCCCATTATAATGATAAAATATTAATTTAGTGTCTAAGAATAACTTAAGAAATTACAGATGATAAAAAAAGGTAAGAAGGTAACAAAATATTAAATAAATATGTATTTAAATTCTTAACATTTTGGTGTCCTTAAAAACCATCTTGAGACATTCACCCACCTTAACAGCTGGATGAAGACGACTATCAAACAGTGCTTCATTTTTTATGATATTTCCTACTCCAGGTAATACTGCTTGATCCAATAACACATCACACAACATACGTGTGTTCTGCTGCTTAATCTCATGTTCTGCTCTCGAGAAGCTAAACTTTGGAGAACAGACATCCAAACTTTCCATCATCCTCACTTTCTGCTCACACTCAGCTGCATTTCTGGAAGAGAACAGAAGAGAAAAATGTGCTGAATAATTTTTATTTTAAATATATTCTAATACAGCAGTGTAGTTTTAAAAACAACACAACAAATTATAATAGAACATTATATGCAGATAACACAAACCATGAAAATACCAATGACAGGAAGTGGCACAGAAATTCCATTAAACATCTCTTCCAAAAACAGGTCAACGATACATGCATGGAACATGCATCCAGTCCAACATACAAGAAATCATCTCATTTTGCTCCTATTAGCTTGAAAAATATTTGCCAGCTCCTTGCTTTAAAACTGCTTACAAGATGGAAAGCCCATGTGTTTGAACCCTCAAACATACCTAACTGTATGGTTATGTGGTCCACTAGTTACAATATGACATTTATGTGTGTGTGTGTATATATATAATCTGTAAACTAAATTTATATATTAGATTTTAAAGAATTACAGAATATTCTGAGTTGGAAGGATCCCACAAGAATCATGAAGTCCAGCTCTTAAGTGAAAGGTTCAAATGGGGATCAAACCTACAACCCTGGCATTATTAGCACCATGCTCTAACCAACTGAGCTAATTATAATTATGTAATAGATATATGTAGCAGTAGATCATTAGTAGTTACAAAATTAGTTACATAGATATCCTAGATTAGGATAAGCATAATCATTTGAAAATAATACAGTACAAGAAGTCTTGGCTAACATGAGATTTTGTGTCTTGTAATTTTAAGTGTGCTTATATATGTTACATGAATTTACATGACCATTTCCACTCAAGAGCCTCAATCACTTTAAAATCAAGCTCACTGGTGGTTTTTTTTAGCAGTGTGAAGTATAGTGCTAATGGGCATAAACATCTGCTTAATGTAAATTAGAATAATTATAAAAACTTGCTTCCAAAAAGGAAAAAATAAAAACCTAACCTCGGAAGCATGAAAACTTGAAACCAGTAATCGTGACAGGTTGTTACCCTTGTTAAGAAATGAGACTTGGATAGAAATTAACAGAGCAATGGGTTTCAGTGTACAGATCTAAGGACAGAATTAAATCCAATTTTCATTCCCAGTCTTGACACTACCTAATGACACTATAGCATAGAACTACTTTATCTGTATGTAAGCTCTGATACAAAACTAACAAACTTAAATTACCATACCAATAAATATGATCTGTTTAGAAATTTTTGTCTTGATAGAATCCAAGCACTTAACAATTTTTACATGATTTCTTATTTACCTTAAAAGAACATTATAAAAAGAAACTGTTTCCTTAGTTTCTGCTTTACCTGTACTCTACCGTCACATCCCAAAAACAAACAGTATCCTCCATAAGCTGTATCTCCAAAATTGGTTGTGTTCCATTTCTGTCTTTGCTTCCATCAGGATTAATGTGCATGGAACCATTCATACCAAAGTGAATCCTGGAAAGAAAGAGAGTTTTTATAGGTATTTTAACATCACTATTGTTTCCAAACATTACACCAGTCTATTTTTAGAGTTGTGAACCTTACATAACACCAAGGCAGTATGTATGTACATTAATTCTACTCATTACCAGTAACACAACAACAAACTATTATCTTACAGAATGCTCAATTCCCAGAGAAGAAAGAATGCTCCCCAAGTAAAAATCCCTCCAAAACATAGCTGGTTTTGAGTAGTCTTCATAATTCATTATACAGAAGTCAAACCTGATCATTAAGTAGCACCATTTCCTGGTGCACTTAGAAATTTTTTCTACTTAACATGCTGATCTTCCAACATAGATTCTTAAACCTTCAGGGAGGCTGAAAGAAATGAGGCCACTTGACCAGATAATTTTCAGTTAAAACAGGCAGAAGTCACCTGGTATGAAAAGAAAGAATTTAGTCCCCATATTGCCACCACTGTCATCACATCACAGCTACATCAAATAATACCATAAACAAAGTAATTAGTATTTGCCATATGTTGTTTTCTGCTTTTCTTTGCCTACAACCAAGGCAAAACCTGCAGGTCAATTAAAAATTAATAAAAGAAATAGGCTGAAAAATACACAGATGGCAAAGTAGAAGAACAGATTCTTTCAAGCATTTATTTTACACATTAGTAATGCTTTAAGAGGTCATACATTTTATAAAATATTCTACCAGGAGCTATGATTGAGCAAAGAATAAGTCTGACTATCATCAGTGTCAGTGTTTCATTACCTTTGATATCCTGAAATAGGGAAAATTAGAAATCTTTTTAATTACAAATAGAAAAGGCATGCTAATTAAACCTAGGATCTGTTATTCAATGAGAACTAGTAATAAGGAGTTGACAATTTCTTGTTCTAAAGTAAAAAGGTGAGACTTTAGAATTATTTAGTGCCACACAATACTGCAGGAATCTGGATGCACTGCATGTACTATAACTGTTTTGTCTCTAGAAAATGCAACTTCCTGTTTGAAACAAAGTGTGTCAAAAACCAGCTGTCATTTCCAGATACCTTTACATGGAATCTTGGAGTAAAGCAGTAAATTATCTGAACACATGACTATATCCAGTACTCCTGTACTGCAGAGTGGCTGATGAGAAGTTTCTCTGTAACACTTTCAAATCTCTGGAAGTGCCATTAGTAAGAATAATATGACCCCGAAATACATTCAGTCTAAATGCATAGGAAGCCGCCTTCTCACTTCTTACCTCAAAGCTTTCTGATCAAAATACATAAAAAGTTCCTTTCCCAATGTCTCCACACCCCTGTAAACATGTCCAACAAGGAAATCATGACCAGAGCTTCTCTCTTTATCTGTAGCAGTCTGAAAAATGAGTACACACACATAAAGATTAAAGATTATTTATACTGCTTAGATTCTAGTACCAGTACACATTCAGCAAACAGCTGTATGAACTAATTTTCCGACCTGGACAACATTAACTATATTCTTCTTAAGCATTCTACCAAAAACAATGGGACTGTTAACCCAGGAAGCAGTCACTACTGCTAACACTATCATAACTTGCTCAATTTTTTTCCCAATTGAAACAATACATCTCTTTCATCAGGGAATTGTATGCATTTTCCTTTGAGTCATGAATTTATAATCTAAGTTTTAGACTGCTGTAAAATAAATAGTTACAGTTTGAATATTAAAAACATGTCAGAGTGTCAATTCTGCCATTTGCAGATCCATACCCTTCTTCAAATGTTACTAATAGACTTTCAGTACTTTGCATAATGCCTTGTGTATTACAGAAAAGCTTCCACTGAGCCCACAGAGATATCTCTTCCTACTAGTTTAAAGTCTAATCTCAGAAGCAGGTGAGCAGCAGGTGAGACACTACTAGAGTACAAGATAAATGTGAGATTGAAGCAGTCATATTTTCTTGCTTAGCACATGAAAATACATTAAAATTTTAAGGGATGTCTACAGGTTACCTGGTCAAAGCAGAATACACTTAGGACAGGGAGCCCAGGGCCTTGCCCAGTCAAATTCAGAGCAGCTCCAGCAATGGATGCTCCAGTCTCTTTGGACCCTTGTTCCATGGCTTGACTATTGTTGTGGTAGAACATTTTTCCTAATATCTAATAAGAATTTCTCCTGTTGTCACCTGCATCTGCTTTTCTCAGCCACTGTGCATGTCCAAGAGGAGCCTAGCTCTGTCTCCCCCATATCCTCCCTACAGGTAGCTGAGGAGAGCAATAGAACTCCAGTTCTGTCAGCTTCTCCTTGAGCACCATGTGCTTCACCCTGATAACCACACCAGAGGACTCACTCTAGTATGTTATTAACTTGTTATTATTCGGTATTGGAAACTCAGGTGCAAGCGCTGATCAGAGGTAAGAATCATTCTTCTCAAACTGCAGACCCCAGCATGGGGCTGTCCCTTGGAATGGCATGCTAGTGACATGGACTCAGCTTTTACAGGACCTTAGGTCCTTTTTTGGTGCAGAGCCACTTCCCATCTGAGTAGCAGCCAGGCCTGTGCTGTTCCTCTTCTGCTCCAAGCACAGGACTCTGCTAGTCCTGCAAATGCTGAACTTGAGTTTCCACCAGCCCATTTTTCTCAGCCTGTGAGGGTGCCCCTAACTAGCACCCCAAGGTCCCTTCAGACCCTGCTGAAACCTGTGAGCTGCAGATTCACTGTCATCACAGCGCTGACTGCATGGCAGATACACATATCAGTGCTTCAACTGCAGCACTCAATTTCAATGCAAATATGTGTGAAAGAAACTCTGGCAAATCAGCCAGGCTTCTGCTAGTTAGTGACATTTCAGAGCTACTCCATGCAATCTCCCACTGTATTATTACCTTGGAATTATACACATTTAGAGAGTTTTATGGTTATTATTTTTGTCAAGTAGAAAAATAAAAATATTTCTTGCATAACATCATTTACCTTGTCTGTTATCAAAATATGAAGAAAGAAAAATTTTACTTCCATGTAAACAGTTCATGCTTTCCAATGAAAGTATTTGGAGTCTGTTGCTGAGCAACAAAGTTTATTTTATCTCTAAGGCACTCAAGTTTGTTTAAAATAAACCAGAATAAGAAATGACTGAGATGGAAAACTAACTTGTCTTTTCAAATATTTGAAGTTAAGTTCATACCTCTTTGGTATCAGGCAAACCCTTAAGAGTCATCATAGTACAAAGTCTCCTAACAGTGTAATATTCAGCAGTGGCCAAGGCTTTAGCCATGATTAGCAGTCCCTGTGAAATCTAAGAAGTCCAACGTCATTTTCCAATTGGCCATTTTCCAATTAATAAAGGCTGCCCTGAGGTGACTTTTACTGCATAAAGTGATGAAAATGAAACTATTTGAGGGAGTGAGATTTCTTTTTGAAACCTTAGGAGTGTAACTCCTTACTTCAAAAATCTGTCCTGAAAGATATTAACCTATAAAGACTAATCTTAAGACATATCTTACTGATGAGACAGATGTATTTTCAACCACATTCTTTCCTAAATTGTTTTATTGAGGAAACAATCTTACTGTGCCTTAATCACAAGCTTTATGCTGTCAATGAAAGGATAAAAACTAGTAGGGAAATTACATACTGTGTACACTGAAAGCAAATGTCACACCCTTTATTTATATACTTGGCCTAACTAAAATTACTTAAAAAAAAAATTATAAAAGTAAAAGCCCCCTTTCTGTAGGTCAAGGTGTACCTTTCTCATAGATTGGTTTCACACCTTTCTATTTTTCTATTTCTTTATGGTTTCACATATTTCTACTTTCACATAGATGGTTTGGTTTGGAAGGGACCCTAAAGAACATCTAGGACATGCCTCGATTGAGATTATGAAGAAGCAAGATTAGCAATAACTTCCCTGGTATTTAACGTTTCCTCAAGCAACACGGTATTTTGAAATTTATCCTAAGTGAACACGAGCGATTCTAAAAGCTTTTCCTCATTAGTCCTCAAAGCTCCCGTTTCTACAGCTTCAGCATCACCTTTACACATATGACATGCCGAGACCTACTGCGTTGCTGACAATAATATTTCACAATTTAAGAATAAAGACGGTATTCGCGGATGACACCCACCACACCCAGGGACGACTGCAGCTGCGACACGGGGGGGCACCGAACCCCCGCTCGGAGCTCCGGCGTCCTGGCACGCTCGTTCTCACGCACACTTGGCGGCACCTACCACCGCGGATACCCACGAGCGACAGCGCTGGCTCCCCGCCGCTGCCCGAGGCGGCTGCACTGCCCTCCCCTGTCCCTGTCCCGGTCTCCGGGCCGGGCCTCTCCCCCGCCCTTGTCCCTGTCTCCATCCCTGTCCCGTGCCCTGTGCCCGCGCCCTCACCGCGCCGCCGCCCCGCGCGGCCCGCACGCGCTGTCCCCGGCGCAGGCGCGCCCGCAGGCGCTCGGCGCACAGCGCGCAGCCCGGACCCTCCACCATGGCCGCCGCCCGCCCTTCGAATCTCCCGCTCGCCTGAGGGCGGTGCGGCCGCGCCAGCCTCCGCCCCGGTACTTCCTGTGCATTTCCGGCCGAGGGGCGGCTCCTGCTGCTCGTAAATCACTCGCTGGCTCCTGGTAGCTGCTTGGTATTGTCTAAAACACTCGCAAGTGCATTTTCTTTTTAATCCACAATCAGAAATTAATTTCAGCTTTCAAAAAGTCGCTATTTAATAGGTTTCTACAGTCAGTCCAGGTTTACAGAAACAAAGTGTTCCTTTACCCGCCACATTTGAAGTACTAAGAAGCATAATAAGCTCTACGAGCTTTAAGAAAACTGAAGGAATTTGCATTGCACGGTAGAACATGGGACACCATTTCCCAGTGCCCAGCTCGTGAGGCAATACTCACACTGGTCAAAAACTCACAATATTATTTCTTACATGCACAGCCCATATCTACTCTTCTTTCTGTGTTCAATCAAAACATGTTTTCCCTAAAAGAATTTTTTTTTTTTTTACACGAAGAGGATAAATCAGGGTAAATGATGTTTGTTAAAATATAATTCACATTTTCTGCTGAAGCTGGGCTGTGCTACACTTGTTGAAAATGCCTTTTTTCTTACTGGTGTTTTTGCTGTGGTCTTTTAATATCAAGACAATAAGGCAATTTCTAGTCAGAGAGTTAAGCTCACAAGTCAGAAATCGGCAATGTTAAAAAATGGCATATGAAAGTAATTTTTCTGTTGCTCTAGAATTCTGCCGTATTGTTCTTTCAAGCAATTTGAAATTGATTACGCTGGTTCCTATATTAATATTTAAAGCACTTTAAAAGTATAGACGATAGTTCCTTGGCTGTGTCACTTGGCAGTCAAATATAATGTTTTTCATAATAAGGGATTTAATTTCATAGTTGGATATTTTTCAGTAGATGGTTTGTGCAGTGTGTTACAGTAGATTGGTTTTTCAATTCCACATCTAATTCTGCAGATGAATTAGAAGTTCCAATAGTAACCATTAATTAGGCCCTCTAGCCATTTTTCCACTTATGTACATGAATTTTAAAAAGAAATTCTGCATTCTCAACTTTTGCATGCACTTTTATTCTACTAAAAGCTGAATTCTAGGTATGCACAATCTGTTTTTGGTGAGATTCATATTAAGAGTTTGGTAGTGAAAAACATTTGGGAATTTCTTTGCTATAATAAAAATTTATTAATAATATATTTGCAACAAAGGGAAGAGAGGTAATAGCACTGTAATGTACTAGTCTGACTGTTCTATATTCTGAAGCAAATGACCAGTGCTGAACTCTGAATCAGGATAGTTTATAAGTAAAAGTACCTAAATGACAATAGCTGAATGAAGAACACTTGTTGGACAATATTATTGCTGATACAATTTTTTAGTGATCTAATAGTGTAGCCAACAGCTCTTTGTGTTTTACAGCATTCCGAATAAAATAGTCTTAGCTGCTTCTATGAAAGTATTTCCTTTAGTCAGGAAATCTCAATTGCTGCCATTCAGTTTCAATACTGAAATTCTCAGGCTACAAGGCAAGTTTTAAGTGTAAAAAAATAAAAAGTCCATTAAATTTATTCCAGAGTTCTGTATTAGAATTTAACATTTCTAGGCAGGTAATTCCATCAATAGTTGTTCACACCTTATTTTGATTTTCAAAAATCCAGTGTCCACAAGAATCACTCCCACAGGTAATTAAATGTGCAAAGTACAAAAAAACAATCAAGCAAATAAATCTCACTCAAGTATAGTTTAACATTTTTTTTACTTTCTTTAATATTTTTTTTACTTCCTGTCTGCCTTTGCATCAGAAAAATCAGACTTCTACTGTAGAATAATTGATAGAGCAAGTAAGACAAGTTATCTGCAGTGAAAGGTAAAATATATTTTTAAAACAATAATTGATTAAATCTACATATACGCATAAATTTGTCCTGTGTTCTTGGAGCTCTGTGCACAGCTGCCTCTGTTATTTTTCCCAGTGTTGTTTGCAGGCATCAGTTCTTGGTTTATTTGTGCATTTGCATATTTATCTTCAGATAGTAGCATACAACAGAACAGTGTGCTCAGCATTGGACACTCACATTTTGGTATATTACTGCAGTTGTGATCTCATTAGAAAAAAATTAAACACAGAAAAGTACATTTCTTTCTAAAACTTCAGGTTCCCAGAATTATAAAAAAAATACAATTTTTTTTAAATTCAATTTTCTAGAATTTATATAGAAACCCTAATTCTGTGCCTTGTCCCAGTTCATGTAAAAGGACATTTGTCATAAAATTGATGTAGTTAATTTGTGCAAGTAGAACTACTGACATCCAACTGCTAAAACTTTTTAGTTTATGCATATTTTCTCCCTTGAATTAATCTTAGAACATTGGTGCTCAGTTTAAATACGTAAGTTAGATTTGCAATTAATAGAGCTTTGAAAGTGGTGTTGTCAAGGAATATTATCATATGGCAAATATAGATCAATTTAAATATAGGCCAACTTGAACATAATTTTAGATCAAATGGTAAAATTACATTTTTTCTGAAGGCAACACAAGAGAACAGAAATATGCAGAGTACAAGCACACTCTCTTCAAATCCAGCAGTACACAGAACATCAGCACTGAGATCCTTGTCAAAGCATGGGTTTTGTTTTTTTTTCTACTGGCTTGTTGAAGTTTACAGTGAACTACAAAGATATTCCCTTTATGGTGACAAAATCTTGGATAAGAATTAATAACCAGTGGACGACTGATCTGTGTCATGGTTGCCTAGAGAGTTAATGTGAACAGTTAAGCATACTCAAAATTGCTCATCATGTAATCCCAATGAAATCCATCCTAAACCTTGTAAAAACATTCCCAAATCCTTCAAAATTAAGTCTCTTAATGCAATTAATCCAAATAGTTGCACTGTCAAGGGAATGTGTTCTGGTTATAAATTCCTGGTCTGCCAGTGATTTTTGAGGGTCATGCATAGTTTATATGGACACATAGTTAAATTATTTTTTGTCAATTATCTGAAAATAAATAATGCCTTGAGTGTCTGGATTCTTTTATTGATAGAGAGGTCTTTATTTCCTTTACAAAAAGGCCCATATTATTTTAGCTTTGTTTTTACAGCTGTAGTTATTGTGCAGATAGAGGTCAAGGAGGTTCTTTGGGAACTGAAGTATCAATATAAAATTATAACCAAGTCGTGAATAATAGCTTTAGTATGAGAGTTTCTTGCATTTATTTCATTGTTGCAGCCATATTAAAATGCTACAACTTAAATACCATTCTCACTGGACATGGAGTATGTTTTCAAAATGGAGTACTTAATCAATTAATGGTTTGGAAGTAAAAGGGATAGTTGACACATAGTAGTTCTGTCCTAATTTCTACCTACTTAAAACTGGTCACAGGTAAGCATATTCTTAGGGTTCCAATTCATATAAGAAGAAAGAAAAATAGTTATAGAGGTATATATCGTACTTGAAATTTCCAGAGAGAACATGCTTCAGAATTAGACAGATAGAGGCCGCAAAAAAAACCTAAACTGTTTAATTATGTGGGCAATTATATCTTTAAAAATTACTATTTTTTCAATATTGTCACAATATTATCAGAATTTCCCTGGGTAGTGATTAAGAGTATGACAGGTTCACCTGTCAATGACAGTCAGCTGTAAACAAGATACCACTCTTTCAGAAAATATAGCTTTTTATCTCTATAGCAATCCTTGATTTCCCTAGAGATAAAAAATTCAACACCTTTGAAAACCTGGGCCAGTTTGATGTTAGTCTTCAGCAGAGTAATTTTGCCATTTTCACTCAGGAATTATATATGGATTGCTTTCTAACACTGAAAATCATATGTCTTTCCAAAGAGACCCTCATACTGTATTAATTTCTTGGGCTATACTGGGGGAGGGGGGAAAAAGCAGAAATAATCTCTCTTAAATTTGAATTTTTCTGCTGCTCAGACCAAAGGGTTAATTCCACAAGAGGGAGTTAGGATTACAAAGAGACAGGCAAGATATTCACACTCCCTAAAATTCGGTGATAATCGAGGTCCATCAACTATACTATATATCTAAGGTAAGGGAAACTGTGAACTCTGTGCAATCAGTGGCAGTAGGTAGGCACTTCACCAGACAATGATTTACATCAGGGACTTCATTAGGTCTCTCTCTCCATTAGCCATACACTGATCATTCCTTGTATTGGATACCCTGCTGCAAGCCTTCAAGCACTCACCTGGCTCCCTTATGCAGTGTAAGGGGAGAGTTGACTCAGTTGTATGCTGAGCCAGGTACTGTGTGGAAGTGCCAGTGGAGTTTCCTAGACACTTCTGGAGTCTGGATTCATAGCAGTGAAACAGCTCCTTTAGTTAGAAATCCAAGCAAAGCAATTTTTATTTTTTTATTTTTTTCAAAAAGGAGAATGGAAGCTTCTTTAAGCTGCCATAGCAGTCCAATCAGTGGTGCCTCCTCCCTTTGGGAAATGGAGAAAATTGATCCGAGAGCTTTCCTGAGAAAGTATGCAGTAGACTAGAAAAGACACTGTTCTGAGCTGTTCCTCTTAGCAGAATGCTTTTTCTTTGCATAACATGCTTTGATTTTTGCTAGAGTTATAACAACCACCAGGACAGATTTAATTTGGTGGATTTAATTTAATCATTTACATTAACCTGCAATTACCAAATACAATTTTCAACATATGACTTCTGAAGATAGCCACCTCAAACTTTATGTTTTGTAATAGAATTACCTCTGGAAGGATATTCTAATCTAAGGCTGTGATCTTGCCATTAATTGTGGCAGGGGCTTTTGAGATTATGAATTTGATTTTGGCTTGTTGGAAGCGAATCTGTGTCTTAATGGTGTTATTAATACGTTATATTCTTAAGAATTCAGTATCCATCTATTTTTTTTTTTTTTTAGTTTAAATTAAATGTTTTACTAAAGATTCCTCTTCTTTTCTCCATCAGAGTACCTAGTAACCCAGTG